GTGGCTCACAACTGTAATCCCAGCACTTTGGGAGGCCAAGGCAGGCAGATTACTTGAGCCCAGGAGTTCAAGACCAGCCTGGGCAACATAGTGAAACCCTATCTATCTCTAAAATAGTAATATTAATAATAGGCTGGGTGCAATGGCTCACACCTGTAATCCCAACACTTTGGGAGGCTGAGGCAAGTGGATAATTTGAGATCAGGAGTTCAAGACCAGCTTGGCCAACATGGTGAAACCCCATCTCTGCTAAAAATACAAAAATTAGGCCAGGCGCGGTGGCTCACGCCTGTAATCCCAGCACTTTGGGAGGCCGAGGCGGGTGGATCACGAGGTCAAGAGATCGAGACCATCCTGGTCAACATGGTGAAACCCCGTCTCTACTAAAAATGCAAAAAATCAGCTGGGCATGGTGGCGCGTGCCTGTAATCCCAGCTACTCGGGAGGCTGAGGCAGGAGAATTGCCTGAGCCCAGGAGGCGGAGGTTACGGTGAGCCGGGATCGCGCCATTGCACTCCAGCCTGGGTAACAAGAGCGAAACTCCGTCTCAAAAAAAAAAAAAAAAAAAATTTAAATTTTATTTTTTTTCTGAAATGAGGTCTTACTATGTTGTCAAGGCTGGTCTTGAACTCCTGGGCACAAGCGATCCTTCTACCTTTGCCTCCCCAAGTGCTGGGATTACAGCTGTGAGTCATTGTGCGCCCAGCACTGCTACTCTGAACATGTGCTAGCTACATGGAAGACAGAACTTGGACATTCTCCCCAGCTCAGTAGTCAAGTGCCTATCTTTCTCTTTACTGGTAAGAGAGGGTTTAGGGGAAGTTCTTGTTCCCACGCTTAGCTCATTTGCATCCCAGAATGCAATGTAGATACGAGAACTATTACCGGGGTTGTCTGTTTAAATAATAATATTTAAACTTTTTTTTCCTTGTCAGGAGATTTCACCCAGTGAGAACATGTTTAGGATATTTTCTACAGCAGAAGAAAAGCTTCTGTCGGTGAGTCCAAAAGCACCGTAAGTGTAGAGACACCAGCCAATATCTGGGAAGCCAGACACGAGCACGTTGAGGCATGCTCTGGTTTCTCTTCATAACGAATAAATCTTTCGCCTTTTACTAAAGATTTCCGTGGAGAGAAACAATTATGAGTTTATGGCTGAATTTTTTGATGTCCTGCTTAGGCAGGGCTCATTATCTAGTTAATTAAAGATAGACGTGTCTGGGTGCGGTGGTTCGAGCCTGTAATCCCAGTACTTTGGGAGGCTGAGGTGGGTGGATCAGGAGGTCAAGAGATCGAGACCATCCTGGTCAACATGGTGAAACCCCGTCTCTACTAAAAATAGAAAAAATTAGCTGGGCATGGTGGTGCGTGCCTGTAATCTCGAGTAAAAAAAATTAGCTGGGCATGGTGGTGCGTGCCTGTAATCCCAGCTACTCGGGAGGCTGAGGCAGGAGAATTGCCTGAACCCAGGAGGTGGAGGTTGCGGTGAGCCGAGATCGCGCCATTGCACTCCAGCCTGGGTAACATGAGTGAAACTCCGTCTCAAAAAAAAACAAAAACAAAAACAAAAATTAGCTGGGCGTGGTAGGAGGAGCCTGTCATCCCAGCTACTTGGGAGGCTGAGGCAGGAGAGCTGCTTGAGCCTGGGAGATGGTGGGTGCCAGTGAGCTGAGATCGCACCACTGTACTCCAGCCTGGGTGATAGAGTGATACTTGATCTCAAAAAAAAAAAAAAAAAAAGAAAAAGAAAAAGAAAAAAAATAGGGAGAGGAAGAAAAGCAGAATAACGTTGACAAGAGATGATAGTGGCTCAGCCCAGAGCAATAGTGGTAGTGAGATATTATGGTTGGATTCTGCTTGTATTTGGAAGATAGAGCCAACAGACAGAATAGATATGGATGCTAAAGACAGACATCAAGGAGAACTCCACTATTTTGTTTCATTTTGTAGGAAGAATGAGTTGTCATGAGTTGAACTGGGGAAAGTGGCACGGGATTAAGAGTTCAGTTTTAGACATGATGAGGTGGAAATATGTAGCTGGAAACAGAAAGGTCGGAGTCATTGGCCTATAATGGTATTTAAAGTTCTGTGACAAGATGAAATCACCAGGGTGCAAAAGCAGATAGAAAAGAGACCAGGAGCCCTGCTTCACTCCGACTTGAATGAGACTGGACTGAAGAGAAGAAATCTTCAAAAGAAAAGACAAGACTGTGCACACTCAGGCCAGGCACAGTGGCTCATGCCTATAATCCTAGCACTCTGGGAGGCGAAGGCAGGAAGATCACTTGAGGCCAGGAATTGGAGACCAGCCTGGACAAAATAGTAAGACCTTATCTCCACAAAAAAGAAAAAGAGAATTAGCTGAGTGTGGTGGTGGTGCACATCTACCCTGGAGCCTGAGACGTGAGAATTGCTTGAGCCTCGGAAGCAGATGTTGCAGTGAGCTGAGATCGCACCCCTGCACTCCACCCTGAGGAACAGAGTGAGACCCTGTCTCAAAAAAAAAA